TTTTTTCTTCAATTTTAAAAACTAATTTTTTCTCATTTCTTTTCTAGTCGTTTTTAACATTCTTACAAACTTAATTGAGATTTAAACTATTAAGGATAACATTGACAATTGACGTAAATGAAACTACAGATTGGTAGGATTGTGAGCGCGTGTAAACATTTTCAAAGATTATCTTAATTCTTAATTAATTTTATTTTAAAAGAAGTCTTCTTTTTTGCGAGTGATGGGATCGCAAAAGTCCCATAAATTTTATTTTTAAATTATTCCCGAGCCAAAAAAACATTTGCCTCTTTTTTCCTTCATTCTGTCGAACATGTTAAATAAATTATTATCGATTGAAAAATAATCGAAAGACTGGCGAAAAAGGAAAAACATGAGTTATTGCTTCTGTTGATCGTAGAGCAACGTTTTGATCAAGTTGGTGAGTATAAATAATGTTTATGAGGTCTTTCAGAGTTTTGAGTTAAATTTGATTGATTTATGAAAGATTTGAGAGAATCGAGAGAATTGAGAGATAAAAGTGAGAGATTTGAGAGATAAAAGTGAGAGTTTTGGGAGATTCGGGAGAGAAAAGTGAGAAATTTGAGAGAATTGAGGGAAAAGAGTGAAAGATTTGAGAGAATTGAAAGAGAAAAGTGAGAAATTTGAAAGGATTGAAAGAGATTTGAGAGGATTGAGAATGTAAATAGAGAAAATTCAGGGATTTCAAAAGATTGAAAGTAAAATAAGAAAATTTGAGTCTGAAATGAGTGAATTGAATAAGTTTCTAATTTTTAAACAGTTTCTTTGAAATTTGAATTCTCAAGTTTTGAGAGATCAATCTAAACCCTAATTTAAAGATTCAAATGAAAACTAATTGATTTTTGGAAGTTGTAAATGTTTTAAATCGAGTTTTGACTCAGGAGAGATTTAATTGGCAAAAAAGAGTAATCTTGGAAGAATTGAGTATGTTGCTTGTTTGGGATATTGAAAATTTCCTTTAGAAAATTGTAAGGAACTTAATAATTTTTGTTTTTTTGAATTTTAGGAGCATTTTAAGAAATTTATGTAAAAATTTGTCCGAAATCGTCGAGTTTTTTCAGAATTGAGAGAGATTTGTTATGATTTTTGAAGTTTTTGAGTTGATTTTAAAACTTTTAACATTTTTTGATTTAGAAAATTGCAATTTTTAATGTTTGCATGATTTTCTTAAGTTTGTATCTAAAGAATTTGAAGCAAAGTATTTAAAACTTTGACTCTAGTTGTTTTCCTAACAACTCCATTTTCTTCCTTAAAAATCTCTCATTTTTCATCAGATTTAATGATTTTTTACGAAAGTTTAAACCTGACCTATATTACAAAGAGTTGCAGAAACAAAAATAATAACAGAAAACATCTGATTGGCAGCTGACAACCACTTTGTAGCTACTTGATTGCGAGTCTTCAAGATTATGAAGATTTCAAAATAATTTACAATTTGAATAGCTTAGAATAGAGGAGTAAGACTGTCTTTATGAATTAAAGAGATTCGAAGGTAATCATTATTTTAAGTGTTACTGGATGTTCAAATGAAGCTGCTATAAAGAGTCAGATTGAAGGTTTCACTTGTAAGTATGCTCTAAACTAAGAATCTTTGCATTTAAGATACGAAAGAAACGTATCTGAAACTATAGTCAACTATCAGATCTCTTCTACAAAATAAGACATCTATCATTCCAGTAAATCTCGTTTAAGATCGTTATTTTGCCTCTTAAATCTCTCAAGAATATAAAAAACTTCATTTTTAAACAAACTTCCAAAGAATCAAATTTATGGAGTTTCAATTAGCAACTCATCTCTCAAAAATACTCCCCAACAATTTGGACAAACTAATCCAAACATTCCATCCATAAACGATTTTGGACAATATATCTCTTTTAGAGAGCTCTCAAAACATTTTCATATTCATTTATCTCTCACCACTTAAGTATTAAAATTAGCCATTAAAATTCAAAACTCATTAGACCGAGTCTAAAATTATCTTGAACAAAACATTGCTATACATTTTAAACAAACAAAAATAACAGAGACAAAACAATGTTGTAACAATATTTTTTCTTTCGATGACGAAGTGAAATAAAAATAAGAAGACAAAAATAAAAAGTTATTAATTTTAGAACCTTCAAATTGAATTATAAAATTTGTTTAATTTCAATCATAATCCATAAATTTGCAAATTTGTTTATTTCATTCATTTAGCTCGAGAATTAATTTCTGTTTCATTTTTTAGATAAAAATAGAAAATTACTTTTCAAATAAATTATATTTCCATTCCATGTTTCAGTCAGGTAAGAAAAAATTAATTTCAAATGAATCACCATTGGATTAAATTAGCTCCTGTATCATAACCGTGTGATGTGATACATTTTTTCCTGCCTCACCATGAGCTTGTGTTTCATCTCATTCTTTTTATGGATCATCACATTTCAGATGTTTAAAATTAAATTTTCCACCTATATTCATAATATTTATTATAGCTTACGTGACTCATAATTAAGGTGAAAAAAAAATGTAAGCTGGCATTTTCCTAAATTTGGATACGCCTGTTCGATTGCGCAATCATGAACATTAAGCGATCATTTTTAATATTTCACACACAGATCTCATCTCTATCTTCTGTTCGTCTACATTTAATATTTTTTTTTTCTCTTTAACTCGTGAAATAACAAAAATCATGAAACGTAATTAATGATCATCTTTATGCTAAAAATACACATTTTTCTTCTCCTCTGCTGGTCGAAACATTTTTCTTTCGATCTTTTGACTTTTCAGGAGCTTTTTGCGTTCCGCTAGCTGTCTCTTTCTAACTGTTCTCTTCTTATGTATTTCTATGTGAATTTGTGGAGAGCTTTTTTCGTGTGTGGAGCGCGTTTTTCGCTAGTGAAGATTTGGATTTTGTTTTTCATTATCTTCTAATTTAAGAATAAGAGAATCTAGCTTTTCTAAAGTGATTTTTCAGAATTTTGGAATTTCAACTATAGTCTAGATATTCAAAGCTAGTCTTGGCTATAAAAACACAATCATTAGCTCTGAGACTACAAAACAATAATCAGTAATCCCACAAACTCCTGTCTTTATCCCACCAGAAAAGAATAACATTGTATTGTAAATTAAACAATTGAATATTTATCACTCATTTGTTTAACAAATGTTCCTCATTTCTACCGGGATCTAAAGATATTTTTTCCTTCTAGCAAATTTCCAATCTTCATCTTATTGCAATCATCGTGAAATCTTCAAAAGCGAAATAATTGCACCACACCTGCTACTTAATTTCTACTTAATTTTTTCAGTGATTCATTGACTGACTTTGAAACTTCTAGAAATTTTCTTCGGTCATTTTCTTTTTGCAACTTTTAATTTTTTTTGCACAAAAATTTTTGCTTTGCTTAATTGCTATTTGATTTTTTGTTTCTGATAATTTTGAGAATTTTTTGATCGTTTTTTTAAACAATATTGAAATTTTGTAATCAAAAAACTTTTTTTTAAAAATTTTGAGTTTTTCTAGTTTTTCTTCTAAAGTTTAAGTTTTAATTTTTCAAAAAATTAAGTTTTAATTCAAATCTTTTAAAATTTTTATTTAAAATATTACAAAATGTCAAATTATAAGTTTTTATAACAAAAAAATCAACCTTTACTATTAAAATTCCTCAAATTTTCACCTTTTTAATTTAATTGAAAAATAATTTTTCTAGTTTTTTTCTCTTTTCAAAACTTTTCTTAATTGCTTTCGGTATTAAGATTTTCATCTTGTTGTTAATTAATTTCCTCGCTAATTGACAAAAAATTGCTTGGTTTAATTACACTCAAATACAAATAGATAATTGTGTTTTTAGCCATGAAATACATCAAAAAAATTTATTCATAATTTACTTTCATTAAAAAAGTTGGTGTTAAAATGAAAGATTGTCAAGGTAAGGTAACTTTACTTTTTATCTTTTAAATTTCTTAATTTTTTAAAAATTATCAACCTTACCCTGAATCCAATTTTGATCTTTTTTTCTTAAACAAATTTCACATTGCTCACAAAATTTTTTTTTATAAAAAGCTTGATATTAATTAATTTTAAAAAATTCTCTCAGTTGAATAATTTTTTTGGTTATTTTGATAATCTCATTTAACATCATGACAATAATTTAATTAATTAAGTTTATTTTTCTCATCTTATAATTAAATTAAAAACGACTAGAAATTGCCCATGAAATGCATTCGTGAGTAAGAGAGAAAATTGTGAAAAATTTGCAGCTTTTCATCCTCTAATTACTGACGAATGTATTTCATTAATATCTATCATACATAAATAAATGGGATTTTACCATGAGCTGTAAGTTGTTTTATGATGGATCATTTAATATCCCGACATTGACAAAATTAGATGAAAATTTATAGGACATATCTAATTAGATAATTAAATAATACGTATTTCAGCCAAGGGATGGAACATTTAACTTTGAGAGACATTGTCAAAATTTTACAATAATTAAATCTTGAATCCCTTAGTAAAATCTTTTTGGTAATTAATTTTTTTGTTAAAAAATTTCTTTTTATATTCGTAAAAATTTTCATCTCACAAGAATAATTGTGTAAATCGGAATCAACTGTAGCTAAATTGTCTGGCTGGTCTGCCAAAGAAAAGATTATTTTGTGCAGATAATTAAAGCATTTAGTGTGCAATTTTTACTCCCGAAAATGTCTGCTAATATGGAATAATTTAAGTAGAATTGATTCCGTAATGTGTAAAATCCCATTTTTGTATGACTTTAGATTTACATTTTGACATTGAATATTCCAAAATATTAAAACAATCATTATTGAACAATAAAATGAATGAACTTTGAATAAAAAAAAATATGCCAAAATAAAAACAGAAAAAAACTACACAAGAAAATTTTTCTTCTTTTAAATCTACATGAAATAAATGAGACAAATGCTCATTTAAGAAGAAAAAGAACACAGAAAATTATATTCGGTGTCGCGATTTTTTAAGGCTTACTTTTAACAATTAATTTTGCGGATGTTTCAACTTGTCCGACGGTATTTGTGATGCGACATGTGAAGACACCTGAATCTTCTTCGTAGGTGTTTGTGATGACCAAACTGACACTACTGCCTTCCGTCAAGAACTTTTTGATGGAAAAGAAAAAATTGTGAAATGGAAAATTTAGTTTTATTTGGAATTTAAGTTTTCTATATGTTTACTTACTTGAAAATCTGGAGATTCCGGAATTAAAAGACCTAAATGAATGAAAAAATAATAATAATTTTTATTACATCCAAAGGACAATAAATTATTCAAATATTACCTTCACGGAACCACTGAACATTGACCTTAGACTTGCTAGTATGAGTAGTCTTGAACTTGGCTGGTTGTCCTTCAGTAACAACCACGTCCTTCAATGGTGTCAATTTTGGCAAAGCGTCTTGAACTTCTGGAGCCAAGACAGAAAGCTTAGCTTTAGTTGGTGTTTCGCCAGCGCTGTTCTTCAAGACACATTTATATTCGCCCTCATCTTCTGGGAAGGCTTCAGAAATCTTAAGTGTGTAGTATTCGCGTTCCTTTGTCATTTGGAAGTATTTTGATGGTTTAATAACTTTGTCGCCCTTGTACCATGAAGCTGTTGGAATTGGTTTGCCAGTTGCTTTGGTTTTGAATACAACGGCTGAACCTTCAACAACCTTTTGTTCTTTTAATGGCTCAAGAACAATTGGCTTCTTTTCAGCTCCAGGTGTTGTTGGTTTCTCAATCTTTGGTGAAGTTGGAACATCAACTGAGCATGTGGCATCGCAACGAGCTATGAATTAAATTAATGATTAGCTCCATTAATAAACTTAACCTTCACAAAATTTCTTACCTTCTCCGGATCCATTAATGGCAACACACTCGTACTTGCCAGCATCTTCTTGGTAGGTCTCAATAATCAACAATGTATTGACACTGTCTTCTTCAAGCATCTTATACTTAATATTTGGTGAAATTCTCTTGCCATCCTTTAACCAGTAAACATCAATTGGCTTTGTGCCAGTAACACGAGCATCAAATCTTGCTAATTGTCCAGCACTAACTGAAACATCTTGAATGGTGCTTGAGAATGATGGAGGAATTAATCCACCACGACCAGTTCTACGACGTTCTTCAACAACTAAATTAGCACTGCACTTGGCAGTTCCTCCTCTATTTTCAGCGATGACTGCAAAAACTGCAGAATCTTCTAACAAAGCTTGACGCATGATAAGAACTGATTTTGTTCCAAATGTATGAATTTGGAAGTCCTTTGAGTTATGGATTTCAAAGTTCTCACGGAACCATTTGACTTTTGGAATTGGCTCGCCATCATACTCAACTTCAAACTTAGCTTGTTCGTTCTCAAAGATTCTGCATGGTTGGATTTTCTTTGTAAAAACTGGTGGTTTAGATGGTTGAACTGGACCTTCTACAACGCGCTCTTGAGTTGTTCCCTTGTGCTCAACTTCTGTTGTTTCAGTTGCTGTGATCTTTCTTGTGATTTCTGTGTCACCAACCTTCTCTTTTTGGACTTGCTTTTGTTTTGAGACATGAACTTCCTTTCCATGAACTGTTGTTTCAGATGGGTCTGGAATACTCTTTTGGATTCTGGTTACTTCTGTTGTTTCACCGTTGACTTCTTCAGTTTTCTCACTGAAAATTTTAAATACAATGAATATTTACTTTTTATTCTAGGATGTTAAAGTTTAAAACTTACAGTTGAGTTTCATACAAATGAGCCATACCCTTGGCAATTGATTTTTTGCCAGCTGAATCTCCAGGAAGAGCATATTGATGAGTTGATTCTCTTACTCTTTGTTCCTTAACCAATTGCTCACTTTCAAGTTCTGACAATTTGTCATAATATTCTTTAGTCTTCTTGCTCTTGACAGTCTTCTGCCAATCTGGTTGTTCAGGCTTAACTTCCTTTGGCTTAAGATGAACGGCATTAAGGTCAACACCGCCACGCTCTTGAATTGTTTGATTGCGTTCTTCGAATGTTTTCTCTAAATCTGTTACATAACGTTCCTTTTGGTAAGCGACTAGGTCATAATCATACCATGCTAGGGAAAGAAATGTCATTAAATTTAAATTTCATTGTATGAAAAAGATGAGTAAATATGAAATTTTTATACAGTTTAATTTTTTATTTTATTTTAAGATATTTTTTTTAAGTTTATCCTGTTGAGAAAAAAGAAAATTAAAATCATGCGAAGCGATTCAGATGCCAAGCTTTGGAAAGTTGAAGTTAATGATACAAACCCTCAAAAAAGAAGTTTTAAAATCATAAAATTAAAATAATTAAAAAATGTTACCATCACTTAAGTGAAATCCTTAAGAATAGAATAAAAGATTTGCAGCAAAACAAGTTTTAGGAAAAAAGGATGGAGAGGCTATGGAATGTGAAACTTATAAAGAAATAATAGATGGAATGAAAAATGAGATCACAATGTGAATTTACATGAAATGTACAGAAAATTTTGTGAATTACTGTTTCTATCAGACAAATTTGTGTACAGTGTTAAGATAAAGATCTGCTGGATTATATATTAAGTCTTTATTGGCTTAAAATTGATTATTCTTAAAAATTTCTAAGAAAATTTTAATTTTGTGGTAAATTTGTTATTTTGGTATTTTAATGATCTTTGAGATCTATAAAACCCTTATTTGAATCTTGAAATTCACTAATTAATCAACTCTCATAATTTTCAACTCAAATACGAACATTATAAATTTTTCTGCATCTTTTTAAAACCCTACAATTTCGCATCACTTAAGCAACATAATTTAAATTTCAAAAATTCGTTAAATCCTTAAATATTTCAGATCTTTATCTTGGTGTTCTATTTACAAGCTTTAAAAGCAATTTTTCCTAAAACTGTGTTGTTTATAGTGTTATTGACTGCACTCTGAAGCTCAAGTGTAAACATGTTAGTATAAAAATTTTGAGAAAATAAATAAATCAAATTCCTTTTTGTTCAAACAGTTTTTTATGTTTTAGTTTTTTAACGTTTAAAGTTTTTCATTTTAGAGTTTGAGATTTATATGAATGAATGAGTGAAATGAGTGTGAAAACTTACGTCTTGGTGAGTTCTTAAGAACACCACGATAGTCATCTTTGCGTGAAATGACTTCAAGATCAGTTGATGTGATTGCCTCACCAGCTGAGTTACGAGCAATGACTTCAATTTTACCAGTGTCGTATTGACGAGTCTTTGGAATATCGAAGTGATACATGCCATCGTATGACAGCTTGTAACGTTGACCCTAAAATATTTTATCAAAATTATTAAGAGTCAAACATTTTAATGGAAATGAGCTAAATTTACATTGACAACAGTGTGTCCATTGATCAACCACATGACACGTGGTCTTGGATGTCCAGTAACACGGCAGCAGAACCTAGCCCATTCACCTTCCTCGATGGTAACTGGATCTGGTGACAACACAAATGTTGGCTTCATCTTTGCCTTCTCTGGTTCGACCTTCTCTTCTGGAACCTTGTTAAGGTTAGCTTCAATCTCACGGATTTGTTTCAAACTCTTCATTCCCTTTGGCAATTGTGAGTCATAGATGATGCCTGGTTTACCGGCTGTCTTGATGAAAGCTCTTGTCTCATCCATACCGTACAAGTTGGTAGCTCTGCACAAATATTCTCCGCTGTCTTCTGGATAGACCCATCCGAAGTTCATTGCAACATAACCGAAATCGTAAATTGGTGTAAAGCGATTTTCTAGAATAAAATTAATAGTTTACTTCCAGTTCAGAACATGACATTATCTTAACTTACTGAATGAAAGTGGTTTTCCATTGAAGAACCATTCAACACGCATATTAGGATCACCAACAGGTGCCAATTGACATTCGAATTTAGTTGATTGCATCTCAACCAATTTTTCTTGACTCTTGATTTGTACGACGAATCGTGGAGGCTGGTTGCGATCGGGATCAAACAGATCATCTTCAGTAAGGAAGATTTCTGATGTATATTTCTTAATCGTTGCCTCCATCTGCATAACGGTCTCAGATTTTTGCATGCCCTTTGGAATTTGGTTTTGCAAGATGATTGATGGAAGTTCTGGAAAATAAATGATGATTAATAAATTGGCAATTCAAAGAAGTTTCAAATAGTTCCTTACTCTTGCATGTGACGAAAGCCTTAGTAAAATCTTCACCAAAGTCATTTACAGCACGGCAAGTATATTCTCCGCTGTCCTCTGCATAAACATAGAGAACGTCAAGAGATATGAAGCCCATGTCATAAAGTGTTCTGAATCTGTGACCAGATGGCAATGGTTTGCCATTGCGATACCATTCGATACGTAATCTTGGATCTTCTTTTGGTTCAACGCGAGCCTCAAAGCGAATTGCATCGGATTCTTCAACAGTGAGTGATTGAATGAGTGTGACAAATTTAGGTGGTCCAAATACAGCATCGTCTTTTGGTGCTTGTGAAATTGGTCCACGTTCTAATTCCTTCAACTTTTCACCTGTCATGCCTTCTGGCAATTGTGAGTCAAGAATGATGTTAGTCTTTGATTTAACAATAATCTTAGCAATTGTTGATGCAGATCCCCATTTGTTGGTTGCTCTACACTCATAAACACCTGAATCACGAGAATAGACATAGTCCATGTCAAGTGCGATGAAACCAAAGTCGTTCAACATATGTACACGTGATCCAGTAGCAAATGGACGTCCATTATGATACCAGTCAATGCGCATTGATGGATCGTTGATTGGTTCAACACGGCAGTCGAAGTGAAGTGGTCCACTTTCTGGGATGTCAACATTATCCTTGATTTCGATAAGGAATCTTGGTGGGTTTGGTGTTTCATCATCAATTGGAATTTCTTCACGTTTATGGAGATTCTCTTCCAATTTCTGAATAGCTTCTGTTCCTGTTCTAAAGCTTGATGGCAATTGAGGTTCCATGACAATTCCTTGACGTCCACGGACTTGTAATTTGCATGAAACTGAAGCTTCACCATGCTTGTTTGTGGCCTTGCATGTATATAAGCCACCATCTCGTTGATAACATCCAGCAATTTCCAAAATAACAAATCCGAAATCGTTGATTGTCTTGATGCGAGATCCAGCCCATAATGCCTTTCCATTATGATACCATTCAACTCTCATGCTTGGATCATTAACTGGTGTAAGACGGCACTCGAAGTGAGCCAATTGATTCTCATTAATCACTAAATCAGTTGGTGTTGTGATGAACTCTGGTGGTTTACCTGAATCATCATCTGGTGACATTTGTCCTGGACCTGCACCCAAACCTTCCAATTCAGCAATCTTATCGATTGTTCCTTCCATACCCTTTGGTAATTGTGAATCGTAGATAATGCTTCTCTTGCCTTGAACCTTCATTGTTGATGTTGTGACTGCTTCACCATAGTCATTAGTTGCACGACATGAGTATTCGCCTGAATCTTCTGGATATACTGGTGAGATTTCCAAAATGACAAATCCAAAGTCACAGAATGTACGGAATCTTGAGCCAGTCTTCAATGGCTTTCCATTCCAGAACCATTCAACCTTCAATTTTGGATCATCAGTTGGAGTAAGACGTGCTTCAAAGTGAGCACTTTCACCTTCACGTAAACTATCAATGTTTGATAATGGAACTGTAAATACAGGAGCCTTGCCACCTCTCTCAATCGATCTGTCGTCACGATCACGAATATGTGAGTCTTCCAATGTCTGAATCTTTTCTAAACCACCTTCCATGCCCTAAAGTAATTTAAAACAATTAATTAAGAAAATTTATTACTAAGAATAAGTCAAGTGAACTTACTCTTGGTAGTTGCGAGTCCAAAATAAGATTAGCCTTTGATAAACATTTGAGCGTGGCTTTTGTGGAATCACTTCCATATTTGTTAACAGCTCTGCATTCATATTCACCAGAATTTTCCTCATAACAATACAAAATGTCCAAAATGACAATTCCAAAGTCATGGAAAGTTCTAAATCGATGACCATGAGGAAGTTTCTTTCCATTCCAGTACCATTCAACATGCAAGTCTGGATCGTTTGTTGGTGTAAGACGAGCTTCAAAGTGAGCACTTTGTCCTTCAACCAATTTCTCCAAGCTGATAATTTGTTTGGTGAATTTAGGTGCTTCACCAGTTGGGCTGCTTGGCTGTTCTGCTTGTTGACCTAAGCTTTCGAGTTCACGAATGCGAGCCAATGAATCGGGCTGTAATGTGTCATAGAAGACACCACCCTTTCCGTAACATTGAATAGTTGCACGTGTATAATCCTCACCATATTTATTGGATGCTTTGCAGATATATTCACCAGAATCGTGGCTTTGTACGTAAGCAATGTCAAGCAAGACATAACCAAAGTCTGAAACTGGCTTGATGCGAGTTGAGTGTCTCATTGGAACTCCATTATGGAACCATTCGACCTTCATATCAGGATCACCAACTGGTTCCAGTGTGCATTCAAAGTGAGCAGATTGTCCATCTTTAAGTCCTTCAAGTTTTTGAATTTGAGTTGTAAACTTGGGTGGTTGACCAGCTGACTTGTCAACGCATCCCAATGTGACGCTTTGTTCTGTCTTTCCATACTTGTTGGTTGCACGACATGTATAAGTTCCTGAATCTGGAATCTTAGTACCCAAAATCTCCAAGATAACCATTCCGAAAGCATAGACTGTACGAATTCTGTGACTAGCATCAATTTGCTTGTCATTATGGAACCATTCAATAACCATACTTTGATCACCTGTTGGAACCAGAGTTGCTTCAAAGTGAGCAATTTCACCTTCAACAATATTCGTGATTGGTACGAATTCTGATGTAAATCTTGGTGCTTGACCTTCATCATCAGAGATTGGTCCACTAGCTGATTTGCGTAATGAATCTTCCAAATCTTGGATAGCTTCCAAGCCTTCCTTTCCTTTTGGATGTTGAGTTCTTTCGATGAGACTTTCCTTTGATGTACAGTAGATTGTAGATGTAGTAAAGGCTTCTCCCTTCTTGTTGACAGCTTTGCATGTATAAACACCTTGATCACGTTCATAAACTTCACTCAAATCCAATGTAACAAATCCAAAGTCATTGGTAAATTTGAAGCGAGATCCATGTTGTAATTGTTTTCCATTGAAATACCATTCGATCTTGAGATTTGGATCTTGTTTTGGTTCAACTTGACCCTCCAAATGTAAAGGTTGAGCTTCACCAAGACGTTTTTCTGGCTCGACAGATACAATCCATTCTGGTGGACCATAATCCTTGTCTGGAACTGATGTTTGACGCTTATACTTGTCAGCAATGTCACGTTCCTTGCCTTCAACGGCTTCAAGACCAGCCTTGCCTTGTGGATGTTGTGTATCAAGGAACATTGTAGCAGTTCCAGTACATTTAAGGGTTCCTGATGTTGATGCGGTTCCCTTGTTATTAGTAGCTTTACAGGTGTAAACAGCAGAATCTTCAGCATAAGCTCCAATAATATCCAATGAACAAAATCCGAAATCGTATGTTGTCTTGTAACGAGCACCAGCTGGCAATGGCTTTCCATTGACAAACCATTCGATTTTCATCGTTGGATCCTTTGATGGTTCAACATTACATTCAAAGTGAGGATTTTCATTTTCTTTACATTCAACATTGTTAAGATGAGTGATGAAGACTGGTGATTCATAGACTGGTTCTCCTGAATCAGCCTTACCACCACGTGGTGCTTCCAAATCAATAATTCTTGGCAATGATTGTGGATGTAATGATTCACCCAATAACCAGTGCTTATCTTCAACCTTTAATGTACATGTTGTAACAGCTTCTCCCAAAAGATTTGTAGCCTTGCATGTGTAAATGGCTGAATCATCATCACGTAATGAATTGATTGACATTCCAACAAGACCGAAATCGAATGTGCTCTTAATACGAGCTCCAGTTGTAAGTGCAACTCCATTCTTGAACCATTCAATGCGCAAGTTAGGATCTGCTTTTGGTTCAACAGTTGCTTCAAGGTAAATATGTTGACCTTCAACGAGCTTATCGTGACTTTGCAAGTGTTGAATAAAGACTGGTGCTTGTTGTGGACCAGATTCTGGGAACAATTCTGGACGTTGTTGCATTGAAGCTTCTTTCAATTGAATCTTTTCCCATGATTCTGGTAATAAGCTCTCACCGACAATTGATGATTTGGAGCGAACCTTCATTGAAATTGAAGATACAGCTTCGCCAGCTTTGTTGATTGCTTTGCACATGTAAACGCCAGCATCTTCAGGAACTGATCCAATAATATCAAGAGTGACAAATCCAAAATCGGTTGTTGTCTTAATTCTTGATCCCAATTTGAGTTCCTTGCCATTGACAAACCATTCAAAACGAAGTGATGGATCTCCGACTGGAACAACACGAGCTTCAAAGTGAGCATTTTGACCTTCCCAAATTTCAGATGGTCCAGAGAGCAATTGAGTAAAGATTGGTTTCTCAAAGTCACGATCTGGTTCTTCTGGACGTGCTGCAAGTGGTTGTTCTAATTTCATGATCTTTCTCATACCTTCTGGATGTTGTGTTTCCAAAAGAATGCTTGCCTTTGTTCCAACCTTCATTGAAGCAGTTGTAACAGCTTCACCAAGTGGATTTGTGGCACGACACATGTAAACACCTTGATCATCATCACGAATGTGAGCAATGTCCATTGAGACAAATCCAAAGTCATGTTGAGTTCTGATACGAGAACTGTCTTCAATTGGCTTCTCATTTCTGAACCATTCGACTTTCAAGTTGGGGTCACCAACTGGAATCAAACGAGCTTCAAAGTGAGCATTTTGACCTTCAGGAAGATAGTCAATGTTTTGTAATGGCTGTGTGAAGACGGGTCTTTGTTTAGTTGCTGGTTCAGCAATTTCTGGTCTTTGCCATGGTTGAGCTGATTCAAGAGCCTTAATCTTCTCTAAACCTCCAGGAATCTGAGTGTCATAGATGATGCTTCCCTTTGGAACGACCTTGAAGTTAACTGATGACTTGCATTGTCCAAGAGCATTAAAAGCCTTGACTGTATATTCACCAGCATCTTCTGGAACAACATGAGTGATATCCAATGAGACATAACCGAAATCGAATGTTGTGTGGAAGCGTGAAGCTGATTGTAATGGCTTGCCATTATGGAAGAATTCAATACGCAAATTCGGGTCATGGATTGGTTCAATTTGACCTTCAAAGTGAGCAGTCTGTCCTTCAGCTGCCTCATTTGTTCCCCGCATTTCAGTGACAAAACGTGGTGGAGAAACGGGTTGATCTTCAACTTCCAATTTCGATGGACGAACTTGAGCTTCCAATTTTTGGATCTTTTCTAAACCATCTGGATGTTGTGAATCCAAAATGATGCTGCGACGGTTAACAACCTTAATATTGCATGTGCTTACAGCTTCACCGAGTTTATTGGTTGCACGACACATGTAAGTACCAGTGTCTTCACCATAAGCATAAAGAATATCTAAAGCAACATATCCGAAATCGTGAGTTGTACGGAAACGATGACCAGCACGAATTGGTTTTCCATTGACAAACCAATCGATTCTTAAGTCTGGATCATTAATTGGTTCGACACGACATTCAAGATGAGCATAATCACCTTCCTTCAAATTCTCCAAGCTATTAAGTGGAGTAAGGAAGACTGGTTTTTGACCAGGTGTTTCAGCTTCAACAGTCTTTGGTTGATGATAGCTTTCAAGTTCTTGAATCTTCTTGTAACGGTCTTCGTCCAATGTTTCCAAGTACAAAATTTTGTTAGCTAAAATTAATTAAATTTTTAATAGTCAGTTCCAAAGTTTAATAATAAATCTTTTACCTGTGACTTTTACAGCGCAAGTCGTCATAGCCTCACCGACAGCATTCTTGGCTTTGCACATGTAAGTTCCAGTGTCTTCAGCATGAGCATCCATAATATCCAAGGCAACAAATCCAAAGTCATAAGTTGTTCTGAAACGTGAACCAGCTGGAATTGGACGTCCATTGACAAACCATTCAACCTTCATTGTTGGATCATTGACTGGAACGAGAGTAGCTTCCAAGTGAATTGGAACTCCTTCATTAACATTAGCATTTCTTAATGGACGACCAAATTGTGGCTTTTCAGCAGTGTATTGCTCTTCTTCAGCACGACGTTGATAACGTGATGCATCTTCAAGGTATTGGATCTTCTCTAAAGCTCCTTCATTTTGTGTTTCGTAAATAATTGATGAACGTGAAGCAACATTCAATTTAACAGCTGATTGAGCTTGTCCTAAACGATTAGTAACACGGCATGTGTATTCACCGCTGTCAGCTGGATAGACAGTAAGAATATCAAGAGAAGCAAATCCAAAGTCATAGTTTGTACGGAAACGATGACCAGTTTGTATTGGTTTTCCATTATGTAACCATTCGACTTTCAAATTTGGATCTGGATATGGTTCAATGCGGCATTCATAATGAGCTGATTGACCTTCCTTTAAGTTGCTTGGTCCCATCAATTTGACAGTAAAGTGTGGTGGTTGTGTGACAATGACTTCTTCATCTTCACGACGTTGGAAGCGTGTTGAGTCTTCAAGCATGTGGATCTTTTCGAGAGCTGCCTCGTTTTGGGTTTGCAAGTCTAAAGCTGCCTTGGCTGTAATCAAATAATTTAAAAATTAGTTTAAAAAATTCCAGAAATTACAAAGTTATAGCTTACATTGTACAATAAGTGTAGCTGATGTGACAGCTTGTCCAAGTTCATTGATTGCACGACAAGTATAAGTTCCTGAATCTTCAGGGTTGGCATACTTCATGTTGAGAGCAACATATCCAAAATCGTGCATTGTTGAGAGGCGATTGGATGCTTCAATTGGAACTCCATTTCTGAACCATTGAACGGTAAGTTTTGGATCTCCAACTGGAATCAAACGAGCTTCATAATGTACAGCATGTCCTTCATTAGTCTTAACATCACGAACAGGTAATGTAAAAACTGGAGCTTGAGTGATGGTTTCATCTTGGACAGCATCGCGATGGTAGCGTGAAGTATCTTCCAAGATTCTCAAACTTTGAAGAGCTGCTTCATGTTGAGTTTCCAAGACAATTGCTTTGCGTGAATGAACGACAGCAACTGCTGATGTAATGGCTTCACCTAATTGATTGATGGCACGGCAAGTGTATGTTCCAGAATCTTCTGGCATACAAGCCATGATGTCAAGAGCAACAAATCCAAAATTGTTAGTTTCTGTGAATCTGGAACCAGATTTCAATGGGATTTGATTATGATACCATTCAACCTTCAAATGAGGATCAGACACTGGAATCAAACGACATTCAAAATGAGCACGTTGTCCTTCACGGATCTCAATGTTTTTCAATGATGTTGTAAAGATTGGAGCTTGTTTGGAAACTTCATCAATTTCCTCATGACGTTGGTAACGTGACTTGTCTTCCAAGAACTGGATCTGTTCAAGTCCACATTCATTTTGAGTTGTTGTCAAAATTTGTGCACTTCCCTTGCAAATAAGATTGCAGGTAATTTCATCATATCCAACCAAGTTGACTGCACGGCAAGTGTATGTTGCTGTATCTTCAGCAATCAAGTCAGTAATGTCAAGTGCAACATAACCAAAGTCATGAATTGGACGGAAACGATGACCAATCGCAATTGGTCTTCCATTCTTAAACCATTCAACTTTCAAGTTTGGATCAGTGACTGGTTCAAGCTTGCATTCAAAGTGAGCATGTTGACCTTCTTTCATGCCTTCCATGCTCTTTGGTTTGGTAAGGAAACGTGGCTTGATGTTGACAATTTCATCGACATATTCATTACGTTGATAACGTGATGTATCTTCTAAGTATTGGATCTTTTCCAAACCAGCTGGATATTGTGAATCCATAATCAAGTCCTTCTTGGCAATAATCTTGACTGAGCATGATGTAACAGCCTCACCAAGTTGATTGCGAGCTTGACATGTGTAGACACCAGAGTCAGTAGCATAAACTCCAAGTAAATCTAAAGCAACATAATCAAAGTCATGTGCTGGTCTGAAACGATGACCTGTCTTGACTGGAACTCCATTAACGAACCAATCGACTCTCATGTATGGATCACTGACTGGTTGTAAGCGACATTCAAGATGTACATTGGTTCCTTCAATTGTCTCAATATTGTGTAATGGACGAGTGAAAGTTGGTGCTTGAGCGATGCTAACATCCTCAGATGTTTCACGACGGAAACGTGATCCATCTTCCAAGAACTGAATATGTTCTAATGACATTTCATTTTGTGTCTCGGTAACAACATCACGTTGTCCAATGACACGTACACAAGCTGATGTATGAGCACTTCCAAGTTGATTTGTTGCGCGTACGGTATATTCACCAACGTCCATTGTTGATGCATGGATGATATCTAATGCAACAAATCCAAAGTCATAGTAAGTACGGAACCGTGAACCGACAGTAATTGGACGACCATTTTGGAACCATTCGACTTTCATTGTTGGATCATTGACTGGCTCCAATTTGCATTCAAGATGAATATTTCTTCCTTCCTGAACCGGTTGTGGATCAGAAAGTAGTGCCGTGAAGTGTGGCTTCGAACGGCAAATTTCTTCGATATTATATTGTGGTTCGACAAATTTGGAATCTTCCATTCGTTGTGTTTTTTCGTATGTTCCGCGATGTAATGTTGATGTATCAATGCTTGAGCGAGCTGAATTTTTTTTTCATTTTGTGGAATTAAAAAGTTTTTTGTAAGAATAAGAAGACATTAATTAAATTGAAAATAATGCACTTTTATGCTTCAAATAACTTTATAGACTATGAATATTTATTAATATTGTTAATATAGGTCAGTTGGCTACAATATAATTTATTGTGGTTAATTGGAGATAATATTAAGCATTATTAAGATTCAAGCTACTTCTACTTCTATAGACTAATTAAAAAATATCAATCATCCTTACTTTCTACCAACATTGTAGCGCTTGTTTGAGCTTCACCCAAACTATTACGTGCGACAACTGTATATGTGCCAGCATCTTCGCCACGAACTCCCAAAATATCTAAAGCAACATATCCAAAATCGTGATACATTTGGATACGATTGGCTGGCATAATTGGCTGACCATTGTGATACCATTCAATTTGCATTGACAAATCACTTTGTGGCTCAACGCGGACCTCAAAATGAGCGCGTTGTCCTTCGATGATCTTTGTTGTTCCTTTCATTGGACCTAAGAATCTTGGTTGAATGTTCAACAAAATTTCTTCTTGTTCCTTTTGCTTTTCATGTGTGACTGTTGTTCTTGTATGACGTGTTGAGTCTTCCAATTGTTGGATTCTTTCAAGACCCAATTGATGTTGTGACTCGACAATGACATCTTGTTTTGTGATGACTGTCATTTTAGCTGCTGTTTGTGCTTCACCTAATGCATTGTATGCACGGCAAGTGTAAGTGCCAACATCATGGACAGTTACTTGCTTGATGGTCAATGCAACATATCCAAAGTTGAAGAAGGAAGTAATACGAGAACTAGCCTCAACAACTTTTCCATCTTTCAACCATTCAACACGTAATGTTGAGTCACCGACTGGTTCGAGACGAGCTTCGAAATGAGCGAATCCACCTTCGCGAATATTCAATTGATCACTAATTGGATTCTTAAATTCTGGACGGACATAACTTTCAGGCTGTTCTTCAACAAGCTTCATGTTTTGATATTGATGATATTGTTCCAATTGCTCACATTTTTGGATATGACGTTGTTGTTCGGAAATACCCAAATCTCCAGTGACAGTTTCCTTACAGATAATTCTGATGTTTGATGTGCTTAAAGCTTCACCAATGCGATTAACAGCACGAACTGTATATGAACCAGAGTCTTCAGCCCGTAGATGCATAATGTTAAGGGAGACATAGCCAAAGTTGAAGATTGCAGTGATTCTTGAGCTGGCTGTAATCGCTCGACCATCTTTGTACCATTCAACTCTCATCGTTGGATCGGAGACTGGAGTCAATTGGGCTTCAAAGTGAGCATTCTTTCCTTCTTCAATATCACCTAAGTCTTGTAATGGACGGATGAAGTGTGGCATGTGAGTTGATGTCTCTTCAATGCTTTCACTACGTTGATATTTGGAATAATCTTCCAAATGTTGGATATATTCCAAACTTGATGGATGTTGAGTTGACTTTTCAATAGCTGGTTTTTGAGTAACACGCAAAATTGCACGTGACTCAGCAACACCACCGGCACTTGTTACCCGACAAACATATTCACCACTGTCTTCAACAATAACGCTGATCAAGTCCAATGCAACAAATCCAAATTGGAAGGTGCAATTTGCACGTGAACTAGCGACAATCAATTTTCCATTCAATAAGAATTCGACTCTCATTGTTGGATCTCCGACAGGTTCAATACGTGCTTCAAAGTGCACTTTACCACCTTCAACTTGATTGACATCACGAAGTGGGACAATAAATTGGGGTGGTGGATAGACTCGATCTTCTTCAACAGCTGTTGCATGTGGCTTAGCACGTTCAACATGTCTTAAGTAGATAATTTCTGGTTCCTGTGCTGGTCTGTAAATAAATTGCATTAAAAAAATTTAATTACGAAAGTCATAAAAGATTTTTATACTCACTCAGGTTCAATGACTCTAGTTGGTTTAGGGAAGTTAATCTTTTTTTGTTCGGTATATTGTGGTTTGGTGGTTTCGACAAACAATCTTGCACGTGTAGCAGTTGAGCCTGCAACATTTTGAGCAGTACATTGATACCAACCAGCATCACTAGACATTGCTTGTGGAATATCCAAAGCTGTAGCACCGCCATCAACTCCAATATAAAGATTATCATTTGGAATAAGTTGTGCTCCATCCTTTTGCCATGTAATTCTTGGAACTGGAGTACCAACAGCACGTGCACACAATCTAACAGGTTCACCTTCACGAATATTAACAGTTGTGAATCTTTCGACGAATTTCGGGGCAACGACTTGTTCACGTTCGAGAACAATAAGGCTGCCTTGAGTTGACACTTCGCCTGACTTGTTACGAGCAATGCATGTAACAACACCTCCATCAAATCGACTAACGTTTGTGATCATCAATGAATGATTTCCTGATTCGTTAACGAGGATTTTATGAGTAGCATCGTCATTAACTTGAACTTGATTAATAAACCAAGTGACTTCAGGATATGGACGTCCAGTAACACGACAATCAAAACGTGTCATTTTTCCTTCTTGTGTCTCACGATCTTGGAAGACTTTAATGAAGGTTGGTGCCAATGCCTTTGCTTGTTCTGTCGTTTCAGCATAGTTATCAGCTGCTGGGGTATAAGCACGTTGTTCTTGTGCTGGTTCAATAGCAAGAACGGCTGATGAGACAACACATCCTTGAGTATTTTCAGCTAACAATGTATAATGACCAGAATCAGATGCAGCAGAATTCTTAATTCGGAGAGTAGCTTGGTTGTTTGAATAAGAAATTTCATGCTTAGTCTCTGATGGGATTATACGATTGCCATTGTGGAACCAGCTTAAGCGTACTTTTGGATTACCAGCAACTTTCATTGAGAAGATGGCATCAGAGCCTTCAATGAGTTTTGAGTTGCGTGGCTTAACTTGAATGAGTGGTGGTGATGCTGGGCCTAAGGCACGATCAACAAGAGTTATAAGTTGTGAATCAAGTTCACCAGCATAACGACGAGTAATTTGTTCACGATATTGAACTTCACGCAATAGACGGTACTCAAAGGTATCAACCTTAAATTCTTCCTCATGAGAAGTAAAGGAGTATCCATTGGTTTGCTTAGATGTTTGTTGTTGATAAACTCTTTGCTGTTGTTGTTGCTGAACATTGATTTTGGTTTGTTGAAGTTGTGGTGCTGGAAGTCCTTCAGGTTGAATAAAGACTGAGCAAATAGCTTCACCAACAGCATTACGAGCCCGACATGTATATTCGCCCTCATCTCCAGGTCCAATTTGATTGATTGTCAAAGTGACATCACCAGTTGTTTGATTATAAGTCATTCGATACTTTTGTGAATCAAACAATGGTGCACCCTTGCGTGTCCATGACACTTCTGGCATTGGAGTACCCTTAAGACGACCTTCGAATGTTGCATTTCCACCTTGAGCGAAGCGAGCATTTTTGAAAATTTGCTCAAAAATTGGCGGTGCATAATTTTGTGTTGGTGTTGATGAAACCGTTGGAGTTACCGGTTGTTGAACGTATTGAATAGCAGCTGGTGCGCCACTTGTTGGTGTTTGCGAAATTTGTTGAACATAACCACCATGTTGTTGAACTAGAACGAGAAAAGTTTTTTTTGTGTATTTTAAAAATGATCGTGAAAAAAAAAAGTTTTTCATGTGTGTTTGTGCGTTGGAAGGAATTTCCCCACAAACACAATCGACACTTGTACGTCGGATTGGAAAATTGGAAAGTCGTGTATCTACAGAATTACCATCTGTGTGCGATTTGTTTTGACTTTTCAACATTTTAATTCACATGTGTGTTCGTGCCGACGATGAAGTAATTTTTTTTGGCATGCAATCAAGTATAAACATGAGTTGCGTGATATTTTTAGAATGGAAATATTTTTTTTTTATGAAAATGATTATTTTACGTGATGCATCTTCAACGCATCAAGCTGGTGTTTTTTTTTTATTTTATGGAATAAGAAGAATTTTTTATATTTTTACTCAGTCGTGGTTTGGACATCGAAGCGATCACATCGGAATGTTTTTTGGACAGAGATTTTTTAGAGGATTTATGGTTTTTTGCTAAGTCAGGATAGATAGATTTTTGAGACTTTTTATGTTTTTTAAGTAGATTTTTCTTTATAATTTTATAAATTTTGTTCGGGATAATTTTTTTGTTCATTTTAGGTTCTTTCTTTAAATGTCATTGCATTGTAAAAGTTCAAAATTATTTTTTTGCTGAAATAAATGCAATTTACTTGGAACCTCTTAATAATCTGTTCCTCATTTGATTTATATTGTGGTCCTTTTATTTATAATGATCTTGACTCTTTTCTTTCATAATGGTTTACTGGCAAAATATCTACATTATGTCAAAGATCGACACTTTAACAATTCATTTATTTGTTATTTTGTACCTAATTTTTCAATTTTTCATTAATTGACACGTATTCTATTGCCTCCTTCAAATGAGAATTTTGTGATTTTTCTCAATTATTAAAAATTTTGTTTCAAAATCTCAACAGTAAATTAAGATAAACAAGTTTATTCAAAACTTGACAAAAACGTAAGTACGATTAATCTCAATTTTTCACATAGTTTGTCTTAAAACGCATGTAACATGACATGACACATGCTTCTTAAATCTTGATTTTTTTAATTCTGAGCTTTTTGACTATTTTACAAATATTTACATGCATACAGAAGCCAAGAATAGCATTTTTAAATATATACATACAGGTGCCGCTAATTTAGGAACGGAATGAATATTACGAACTAAGACCTATTTTTTATCAGGTTACTAAAACAAGAATCTTAGGCAAAAGGAAGTGAGATCAGAGAGACTAATTCCACCCTTGACGAATATGCTTCAATTTCATTAGGATTATGAGAACTTCTGCCTTTCAATTTAATGAAAAAGACAGATTGGGTGTTAAATTCAGTAAGAAGTTAATAAGAAAAATCTTATTGAAATCAATTCGTAAACGAATCGAAGACCCAATAGACAAAAACTTTCCAATTCATTTCTTAAAAATTCTATGAATCTAAATTCACATTGATATTAAAACGATGCAAATAATTGCATTATGTTGAAGAAGTTAAGTGGCATAATTTCCTTGATTCTTACAAAAATTATATTCAAACAAATATTTCAACTCTGCATCTTAATAATCAAAAAATGATCAATTAAATTGATTCCTTCAACTTATGGAAACATTGATCAGCATTTCTATGGAAATCATTTCATTAATTTTTGCAAACTTTTCCATCATTTTTGTCTGCTGAGTTTCAAAAAATTAAAAGAAAATATTTTTGGACGTCTAGTAAAAATACAGTTCACACAAAATTGACTGCTATTCAGCCAAAATAACAAGAAAACATAAAACAGCAATTTTTCCAGTGAATCACCAAACACTTTTCCATTAAATTCCATCAACATGATGTTGTACAAAAAAGCAAAATTGGCGATTGAGAAATGCAGCGATGATGTACAAATTTTCATTTTTCACTTTATTCACAGAACATACTTTTCATCTCTTAATGACTTTTATATCTTTTAATTCGGTCGTTGATTCATTCACTTTTTTTAATGGCTTTCATATTTTCTTTCTTGCAGACTTGATATATTCCACGTCTGACGTCTGTATTTATTCACATGGGCGTACTTCGTACCTCGTAAACCTTTTTTTTTATAATTCATTCGAATTTATGTACAACTTTATAGATTATCGAGATCTTTGCACATGTTTAATAAAAGTCATGAGTTTATGAGCGGAAATCACAAAAAAGTGCAACTCTTTGATCAAAAATGTTTAAGTGATCAAAGCATTGCATCTTTTTGAATCCATCAATGACTTGATATTCTTAAAATAGACAAAAAAAAATATTCAATCAAGAAAATTCGTCAATTTTCCATGCCTCCATTGAACCCCCTTTAATACTTAACAGCAAGCTTTTAATCCAGGTCTAAAGACATGCCTTCAAGTACTTCAAGGATTAATAAATTCAATGAAAATATGCGAAGAATTTCCTCAAAACCTTATTTTTTAATGTCTATGATTGATTATGCATGATTTTATTTTAATCACAATGACTGAATCCAACGGGAATTTCTTCTTTTTCTCACAACATTCACTCGGCACACTAGAAATATTTTTTTTCCAATCTATTTTTATCTATTTTTTGTTGTGTAGGAGCTAGTATGAGGAGATGTTGAGTATCAGATGATGATTTAATTAAATTCTTTTTTCACACGTTTGCATTTTTTTTTTAATTTTGCACAATTTTTTCTCTATTTTTAATTTTTGTGGTATTTATTTCTCTGTTATTTTCGTCGCATGATTAATTACATTTCACTTTTTTTTTCGTTTATTTACTTTGAAAATATTTTTTGTAGATTTTCATTTTTCACACCCAAGGGGTGGTAAGTCACAGGTATCTTCAATAAATTGATCGTGGGTTTGTATCTTCAACTCGTGGGTTGATAACACTTTTTTGAGATTAACATTTTATTTCAAATTTATTGTCAATTTCTTCTTTGCTTTTATGATTATTTAACGTTGCTCAAGTGTTGATAGAGAATTTCATTATTGCGATCGTAAAATTTTGTGTGTTGATGCCATTATCACAATTAAGGATTTGAATTTATTGTGATTTTTAATTTTTGACACGAATTTTTTTGACATTTGCGTAATCAATGATAGGAGATGTTTTGTGGGAGTTATGGTCTAGGGAGGGGTACTCATCATAATAATGATTTTAGTCTTAGCCTGGCTTATATAAGTGTAACTATAACAAGAAGTTTAATTTCTTAATCATTGTTCAAATCCCATTTATATCAACAAACACTCTTTGTAATGATTGGGAAATCAGTACTTTGGTGGGAATCAAACCCACATTCTCACAAATAAAGGTTACATATATCCAATCTGTTACTTAAACTATCGGTTACAGGGACTTTATTCTTAAACTTGCATATTTGCTTAAATATAGTTTGATCCCTCAGATATCAATTTTATAAAATAATTCTATTTGGAAATTTGGAACATTTTCGATCAAAAATTTTGATTTCATTTCATTTTTGGTTAAAGTCTTCAAAATATCGTTAAATCAATGAAGTTTTCATATAAATTGATCTGGACTCGATGTTATTTGGTTTCAATAAGATCTTATAAGGTTTGAACAAGTCTAATAAGTAACGTTTCATATGTTGTTATCTTCTAAAATCTATGCTTGAGTTTACTTTTGCAAAACAAATCAGATTCATTGGAAATTAAGCTCAAGTTTTCAAATTAACTGTATTTGATCTTTCGATTGACAACAATGTATTAGATACTAGCATTATCTCTATGATCAGATCAATTTTCCAAAGATCATCTTGATTTATAATTCTGACAATCATTACACTATAAGTTCAGGATAGTTTAGCTACCAAAGACTATCATTGTATCAAAAAAAAAAAGATGTAATTCGAGTGTCATTCCCTTGAGTTGTCACATCCATCTAGTTCTCAAGAAAAGAAGCAGAAGTATTCACATCACTACACGCCACTGCATTTCTCAATTTCCTTCTCTTTTATTTTTAAATTAACGACATTAACATTTCTTTTTCTCTGTGTTTTCTTGCAACTTAGTAAATGATATTTGGCACAGAGTAGCCATAAATATTTCTTTAACAAAAAATGTCCGCTTATCTAATTTTCATTTCGCATTTCTTTTTCTTACTCAATCGCAGATTTTTTTCGTTCTAATTTTATTTTAAAACCAACCTCTTTGTTGAACTTGTTGTGTCACTTGTCGAGTACTTGTAAAAGATTGTTCGATTCGTTGTTGGGATGAGAATTGTTGCTGTTGCTGCACATATTCCTGTTGTGAGGAATATTGCTGCTGTTGCTTTGTAATTTGTTGTTGTTGATTACGTTGCATGTTTAATTACTTTTTTAATCCCACATTAAATTACGTTTATTTTGTTATGTAAACTGCTTATTTTGATTTATATTTTAATTTGAGATTTTTGTTTCGATTTCAATTTGAATGAAAAACGAGAAAATAAAACAAATAAAATAAATTAGAGAAGAAAACAAATTTAAACTTGTGTTATATAAAAATAAATTTTTTATCTGTCTCTCAATGTAATTAAAAACCACAAAAACCGAATGTAGAATTTTTTTTATTCAACAAACTCAAATCAAGGGAGTGGATACTTTGTAGATTAAGATGTTGATTTTTTTAAACAATTGGTTGATGTTGATCATGGATTTAAGAAAAAATTGTGTGAAAAGATCATGATTAGCAGTAAAAATCTTGTTTTGGTTCTCTAAAGCAAACTAATCTCTTATTAATAAGAACCTTTTGCAAGTTTTGAATAAATTTTGAAATTTAAAAATCAAACTTTATATTGTGTTTTCAAATTTTATTTTTGAAGTATAGAAAAGTTCTAAATTCAATCAATCGAAAGGAGTTTGAAAATTTAATTTTACACTATAAGTTAAGTTTCAATAATGTTGTTTTTAAAATTTAAAAATTCAATGTAATTCTAATCCAGTGGATAAAAATCAAAAAGTATTGGAGATCCTTTAAGACCCCAAACATCAAAATATTTGATTAAAAAAATTTGCAGCCCAACAATGCAAAATAGACTTAAATGACAATATTAACTCGGTTAAGCATCGAAGTTCAAACCTTCATGTAATTTAGTATAGATTTAATAAGTTCTTTATTATATAGATGCAAATAAAGAAAGAAATGATTCTTTTCATTTCTGAATGAATTATGGAAAATATTTGCAATAAATTCGATTTGTTAAGATCAATTTAGATTAAAATTTTAAATATAGTAAAACAATTGGAAAAGTAAAGGTCCTTTAATTTAAATATGGACCATAATAAATATAATAATAATAATTTAGATTAAAATTGTATTAAACAGTCAGGTTTGACTTAAATCTTGGCTCACTATTAGCAATAAAATTTTGGAATCAAATTTTCAACTTTAAATCATAAGATGCAGTTAAATAAAACTCTAAAACTTGTGGAAAATTCGCATCAAAATTCAGAAAAATTTAAATTTTTATAAAAATTGTAATTCTATAGTTTTTATCTTCTAAAGAACTACAGACAATGAAAAAAAAACTCAAATCAACTTAATGTTGTTTAAAAATACCCAAAAAATTAAACCATCAAAGTTTTTTATAAATTGTTTCAAAATATCAACAATCAAATTCTGCACTCGATTACAAGTCAGTCAAGTCACTTAAATTCTAAACAATCAACAACACCACAAAGTGTCACACCCTTGATTCAAATTTATTTTTTGAAAAAATGTAAAAGAGATAAAATTTTTCATTCTTCTTCTTCATCAACTTCTTTTTTTTTCTATTTTCCACTTCTTGCTTGGCACTGTGTGTCGAATCACAAATTTTTTTCTCTTTCTATTTTTTTCCTGCCGCTGAAAAAATTTTTTTAAAATTTTTCTTCTCTCTTTTTTTTCTTATTTTTAAGTTTTTTAAATTCTATCTTCTTGTGGTTTTTTTTCTTTTAAAATTATATAACTTTGATAATATAAAAATTTTTCATTACATTCTCTTATCTCTTCAAGATATTGCTTATCACTTAATGATTTTTCCTTTTTATTTTCGTTACCACTTTTTTTTTCGTTAAAAATTTTTTAGTAGAAAAATTTTCTCTTGATTTATTTTTAAGTTGTTAAATTTTCTATTTATAGCCACTATTTTTTTTCTTGCGATCAGCGATTCAGCGATTTTTTTCTTTTAACTTTATAAATTTTTTTCTTTTCTTTATATAAAAATTATTAAACTTTTTTTGCTTTATTATTTTTAATTAAACTTTAATTATTTCTTAATTTCTTTTCTTTCTTCTTTTTTTTCTTTTATTTTCGGGAGTAAAAATATTTTCCTGCCTCTTTGCACGACTTCGAGTATTGAAATGAGCAGGTATTATTGAGGCCTGCAAATTTCAAAACGTTGGGATTTTAATGTTAAGCGAGCGAAGAGTGGCACTAAACTGAATGCGGCCGAGCATCGATCGTAGTCGATCAGTGTAAAGTATTGGCGAAATGTGGGCTTCGGCTTGAGTCGTTTGCCAAAAATAATTCATCGTGTCACTAATTTTAGACTCATTTCTCCGCACAGTGTTGAGGAAAATGAGGAAAAGTTGTACAGTGACGGTGTGAAAATTATAAATCTATATCCATAGTCTCATGTCTATACCACTGACTTTTCGCAAAATCCAACATCGATCGCACAAAACGAGAAAGACGAAGAGGAGAAGAAAAAATTCTTTAAAGCATTTCTTTCACACGACGACATGATGAAAAATTCACATCTTTTCTAAATTTAAGTATCAGATTCATCCGAAATTCGAACTCATCACTGTGTGCGAAAGATCTAGATAGGAATCAGTTAATATGTCTCATCATTCCGAAATAGCGTTGAAGATCATTCCGAATATAAATTGTGTAAAGTTCTTCTTGGACGATTGTGCATGTGTATGCGTTTTTTGGGAAAAATTTTCTTTCTCTAACACGAGCGATGTGAGGAAAATTGTGTAGGTCGATGTGTGATTTCATACAACTTGAGAATGAGAAGAAAAATAATTTTCTTTTGGGTTGTCTGATGGAGTTTGGGATTTGTTTGACTATGCTTTGGTTTTGGTTCATTTTTTGAGGATTTTTTAAGAAATATTTCGAGATGTGGACTTAAAGATACGTTTTATTGTTTTACACCAACTTTACTTAATTTCTACTTACCTGTTTATGCAAAGCGTGAAACTAATCAAGATGATCAAAAAAGGAATTATCAATCTCCAGAATATTGATGATTAGGACATAAAATACCTATTTAAGGACCTTATCTCAACTTAAAAAGGGGGAACTTACCTGAGTAACTTCAAATCAAAGCTATAACTGAGGTAAATTTTAGGTAAAGGTACGTGTCATGTAATCAAGATGTAGCAACTATTTTTATAGGTTCGTTGTTTATCCTTATAATACAAGCAAACATGAGGCCTAGTTATTTACTAGACATAATGTCGGCTAATGCCAAAAAATGTCATTAATAGTAATTAACTAGACACTTGAGATTTTGAATAAACAATTTTTGTTTCAATGCACAAAAATCCTCTCATCAGACAACCCAAAAATTAGGCATCTCATCTCTCGAAAATAAGAAATAACAAGTGAATGTTTAAATTTCAGTGATGTAGTAGAAAAATTTCAAAATAATAATAAGAAATTCTTTATTATTTCCAGAAAGACGTGACATTAAAGTGGGTTTTACACTTTAGCTAAAGATTTTATAAACATTTTGACCTCTATGTGCGAAAATTCGTTAATCGACGTAGCTGCAGGTTTTGAGAATTATAAAAATTGAAAGACTTTTAACGACGCCAATGCTCAAAATTCTCTAAAATATTTTTTGTTTTTCCAATAATCATTTTTCACTCAAAAAATTGATGATTGGCTTTTCGAGCGAATTTTCTTGACATTTTTTCATGTTTCCTGTTGACTTAGTCAGAAAAACGATTTCACTTCTATGAATATATGTTAATTAAATGCTTAAAAATGTGTCATGTAAATAAGTGCAATTAAATATACAAGAAAAATAAAAAATAAAATTCTAACATCCAATTTATTTTCTTTACAAGCAATCAATACCTACTCAAAATGAATTAAATAAAACATTATTTATCTACATAATCTGTCAATATTCCAATTTAAAAACTAGTTGAGTTAGATCAAAAAAAATATATTTAAATTTTATTTTCATTATCATGATTAAAATTATTTAATTTATACAAGGTTCTATAACTTAAAATCTAATGTGAATGTTTACAAATTAAAATTAAAAAAAAAGTTTTATTGCATAATGTGTGAATAATTATTCTGTGAATTAAATGTTAGATATCAGTGTGTATGTGCAAGGTATGGAAATATTTTGAATGAATTTTAATAGTCGAATTGTTATTGAATTTGAAAGTCGGAGGAACTCATTCAACTTTTCATCAAGACATGTGGTTTTTCTGCATAATTTATAACATTTGTGGTAGGTTTGTTGATATGAATAAGCGCAGTTAAAATTTGTTGTGTGGTTTTCATCAATTTTTGTGTTTATCTTGAGCTTGGTTATGTCGACCTACTTTCTGTCAGATTTTTTTGGGAGAATTTCTTTGTGTCTCTTTGTCAGGATTTAATTGCAGATTAATTGAATTAATATAAATGTGCAGACAATAAATTGTTAATTTATTTGAAAAAATGCAAATATTTATAGAGTGTAATATGCACTAAGCTGAATTATAGTGCTTTTTTAACGAATTTCGCAGAATATAGTCATAAACCTAGTTTTATTCTTTAAGAGAACCTAGTAAAACAAGCTTATAGTACATCATGACACCTCTGACCTTAGCTTGATCCAAAGAAGTCCTAAATTCATAAACATCTTCAAAAAAATTCATCCAAAAATATTTCTCAACCTCGCCTTCAAACTTGCCTTAAAATCTAAATATTTACAAGTAGAAAAATTAAATGTTAGACTGATATATTGTGAGGAAAAGCGTTCCATTAATCATCATTCATTTTAAACAAATTCTACTTCTTAACATGCTTTCGATTCTTTCACTAAATTAAACAAAAAAAAAAAACTGGAGAATGTGCACTTATTATTAATTGCTGCTCACTATCCATGCAGTTGCGTAATACTAGTTTTATTTTCTATAAATTTTTCCTTATTCCGGTGACTGCAAGAAAGAAATGTTCAAGTACAAAAAAAATATTAATCAACAGGATAATAATAAATAAATTAATTTTGTGAATAATGTGCAAAAAAAGTGATTCATAATGTGTGTTTATTTTTAGGAAGATAATTCAAAGCAATGTGAAAATGTTCATGCAGGTTAAAAAAAGGAATGAAT